TACTAGCGGCCCGGTACGTGCTTCGCTACGTATAAAGTGAAATAAAATAAACAAATCGGAACATCAAATTCATTTATTTAATCAAAAAAATATTTTATTTAAAATCGAAATCAATTGCTAGCTATTTACAACACACTTAATCCAAAACATTTGGATAAACAATATTTTTTGTTTTTCCATTTTGAGCATAAATAAACAAACGGCTGGGGGTACCGACTCTGGAACAGGCAACATATAACTGGCCATGTGAAAAACAATGTTCCTCCAAATTCACACCACAAACGTGAAGTGTTTGACCTTGGGCCTTGTTGATGGACATCGCAAATGATAAACGCACAGGATATTGTAAACGTTTGAACTCAAAAGGCATATCAGTTGGAATCATAGGTATACGCGGTATCAAAACAACTTCTCCTTTTGATTTACCAGTTAAGATCGTAGCTTCAATCAAATTTGGCAATAACTTTTTCACTGCCAATCTGGTTCCGTTACACAGTTTTGGTGGATTAATATTTCGCAATAATATAATCGAAGAACCAACTTTCAGATTCAAGCAATGCGGTGGCATACCAGCCGGCTCCAATGAATTTAAAAATTCAATTGGTTTCGTACATAAGACATTGCGTCTTGTGCATATTCGTTCATATGCCGTGGGCTACCAATATACGAAGATGGCAATATAGTTAAACGTCCGATGTCATTAACATTAGCATCATTCGCTATCGCATCTTGCAAATGAATATATTCTTCGGATCTTAATTTTGCTTGGTTGAAACGAATAAAATTAAGACGTTCAGTCTCTATTTTGGCATACATATCAACGATGTACTGATGATATAGTTTACCACATTTTAAGATATAATTTTGTTCTTGTGGACGAATCATCAATCGATACGAATAAAAATTCATGGCACTAACTTTTTTCTGTATATGTAGACCTGAAAATAATTACAAAATGTGACTTTAGAAAGTTGTAGAAATGAAATGTCAACACACTAAAAATAGGTCAATTATTTACCTGTTCGTGGATCAATCATTGGTATATTGATATGGTAACCATCGTCACCTTTCCAATGCAATATTGGGTACTGTAATGCATCGTAACTACGATGAAGTTCCGAAACACGTTGCAATTGCTCATTTCTACGATGAAGTACAATATCACGGGATTGAAACTGATCACCAAGAATTACAATTGCAACCTCATCAATTGTTGGTGCATTAAATCGCCTTGCATGCTCTCCAAAAGGTGTTCTATCAGCTCTTATTACGATTTTGTGATTATCAGTTGGCATACGATCGAGAGCAATTTTAAACAATTGAACTAATGCGTTATGCTGATGGAAAAACCTTTGTAGCTCACGAATAATTTCTCGTCTTGTATTCGAAACAATTGCACAACGTTGATCCAATTCACGATTTTCATCACCAATAAAATAAATTTGCAAAAATTGATGATCAGCGTCGGGGTATGGCAATAACGAACCAGCTTGATGATAAATCTGGCCCTGAATCTGTAACATGTATACAATTTTAGGTAAATCTTATATCAGTTTTTTTTTAAATATACTTTATGCTTCAGATTGATACAAACATGGAATAATCCTGTTGAAGTATTTACCTTAAACGTCGGCATAAAATTATCTCTAATAATTTTAGTTGCACCAAAAGAAGTCATTTGAAATGCCGAATTGTATTGTTGAATATGACTCAGAAAGTGCTTCGACGCTTGCGATGTCCCAAAAATAAATGAATACAATGGTTCGGGTGGAGTTTCTAATGCTGGCAATCTCACTTTGCCATTAGCACAACACATGCCGGGCGTTTCACCTGGAAAGTTAGCCGCATCACAATGTGGACATATTGCGTCCATCATTCCAATGTATCCATACATACTATAATCAATCTGACTGTTGTAATTAAAAGCAGCACGCATCATTTCAGCCAAAACAGCACGACGTATTCGTGATGGCCGTGCAAGATTCAGTACAGGTACTGGGTTAACAAATCCATTGCGTGCATTACGTTCACGCTGCGATGCATTAGCTTGTGCGCGTTCATCTGCAGTCTGTGATCGTCTTAGTAATGCCACATCATTTGCATTACGCGTTCGCCGACCTATATTTGCTCGTCTGGCTGGTGGCATTTTTCCCGTATGCACATATGTTTTCGCTTAAAAATCGAAAAAAAAAATTAGAACAAAAAAAAAAACAAATTCCCAAGAAGCTGTCGCATATGATGCTATGTGAAATCATATACGGCAACTTAGAAAAGTACACATAAATTCAGGACTCACCGTTTGTATGAATGCACTGCAAATGCAATTATGTGAAAAGAAATTTATCGCTGATAATATGCTTTAATCAAACCACGTCCAAAATGAACTGACGGCATGAATGACATAACAACGTGCTTGTCCTGTCAACAAAACTTCAAAAAAGTTTCTGTGAAAAAAGTTTCTTTTGAATTCATTTATTACAAAAAATGTGACAAATGAGGAACCGCTCGACCGATTTTGTGCAAACTTCACATAAACCATCTACTAAATATGCCGACCAAATCCTAAGCATTTGGTTTGGATAGGTGAGCCCGTTCTTTAGTTATGGAATTACAACGAAAAGTGGCATTGATTTTTATATATATAGATATGGATATTTCTTGTTTGTATATGTATTTTGTTTATTATTGTTATTTTAACATTTGCTGCAATATCGCATTGGGTCTATCCTGTAAGGATATTTGTATGTTATGTGTGTAAATAAAAAATAAAAAAATAAATAAATAAAAATAATTACAGTGATGTTAGCTATCATTTACAGTGATGTTAGCTACCATTTATAGTGATGTTATCTACCATTTACAGTGATGTTAGCTACTAATTACAGTGATGCTAACTACCATTTACAGTAATGTTAGCTACCATTTACAGTGATGTTAGCTACTAATTACAATGATGTTAGCTACCAATTACAATGATGTTAGCTACTATTTACAGTGATGTTAGCTACCATTTACAGTGATGTTACCTACTATTTACATTGATGTAAATGGTATAGCACACCCTATTACATGGGATTCATAACATACTTAAATAGTGAAAAGTGGGTTTGTGGGTTGAAAAGTTACATTGTACAGTGGCCATTAAGTGCCATAATGTGCACCTCTGCCTTCCCCTTCGGGGATAATAGGCGTGATGTTATGTCAGAATTTTGAAAATCGTTAAAAACCATTTTGCTAAGCAGTTAATTTTGAATAGTTTAAATTTTATATATTTTTTGTTATTTACAGATTCACCTGAAAATACAATTTCAGACGTAACCACAGAAAAATACGAGAATGTAAGTATGAAAGAAGAATATCCCAGCGACTCTTTAATAAGAGAGATACTTGCACAACAGAAACCAAACATTTCACTTCATCACGCAGACAACGAGCCGCGATCTATTAAAATTAAAACCAAACTTACATTCAAAGGTAAGCGAGTTATGATAAAGGAAATGAACTACTGTTTTCTACTTCCAGCGATTAACTTGTTCTTACATGACATCACGCTTTTTACCCCCGAAGGGGTAGGCAGGCAGTGGTGCACATAACGGCACTTAACGCCACTGTACAATATAGTGTCAGTGACATGGAGTCTGGAATTGTGTCCGGTATATGGCAATAGGCTCACCCCCTGTTACATAGGACTCGTAACATAAATAGTGAAAAGTGGGTGTTTCATTGTACAATTTCACTAGCTTGTCCAAACAAACTATAGTTCGTTCTTAAATGATCTGTAAAACCGCAGTTAATTTTTGTCTAGTTACTGTTTGACGAAGATATACGACTAATTTCGAGCCATGCCAAAATTATGAGCATCTATAACTTTATTACTAAAGATTTACGGTCCACAAGAATGTTTAAACTGTCAAACACCAAGCGGTCACCGGTGACCGCAACCTATTGTTCTATAATTGTGTCTACAAAACCGGTACTCGACGAGTTAATACTTTGATACCTAATCACCAAAAAAGAGATATCTAAACCGGTGATTGATTTATCATATAGGTGCTATTATACTGCTCGACTACGTCATTGGCTTAGTAGTCTCAAGTACGACTGCCGGGCAAGGGGCCTCAGGTGCAATTCCCGTATTTTAACATTAATTTTTTGTTTATTTCAGACATTCCTGATAAAATCGTACTGGGAAAATCTGCCAATGGAAAGCGATTAGTAGCTAAAGTTAAAAAATCACAATCAAACGTTCGTGAACATAAGACCGAAAAGTCTGAAGACGATCAAGTTTTGAAACAAGTAGAGGAAAATCAACAGTATAGTTAGTATCTTAAGGCACATATTATAGGTATTGCATAACGAAATTCCTTCCAATTTTTTTTATACTATTCTATTTTTATTTTCACTCAAATAAGAACTCCATATTATTCTTTATAACGTTTTATAACTTGCTATGCGTAAGATCGAATTATGAAATTGCGTTATGCCATACATACGTGAAATATTTAGGAAAATATAATTTATAAGTTTACACGCCCGCTTCTCATGCATGAGGGTTCGAAACCTACCAACGGCAAGTACCAATGTGACTTACCTAGTTTTATGTATTTTCTAAGATTATGCAGACACCACTGACAAACGGACTTCTAATTATAAGTTTGTAATCGCCAACCCGCATTGATCAAGAGTCGTGATTAATGCTCAAACCTTCTCCGTGTGAGAAGAGGCTTTGCTCAGCAGTGGGCATTATAGGCTGTTTATGTGATATATGTGTTATACTGAAATACTTTTACTTTTAGACGTGACTGGGCTACATGAGATGGACTTCGTGAATCTCATCCAAACGACGTTACGAGCCGGTATTCAGCCGAGTTTCACTGAAGAGGACATTGCATCGGCCGAGGGTGTCATCACACAATTACTTAAGATGCCAAACTTGAAGCATTTTTTAGTTGGATACGACTTGATTATAACTAAGGTATGTAGAGGTATTGTATAATAGTAATCTGTGACTGTATAATATACTAGCTACTTCCGCGCGGTTTCACTAGCTCTGCTCGGCGCCTATTAATCGTAGCGTGATATTTTATAGCCTATAGCCTTTCTCGATAAATGGGTTATCCAACACAGAAAGAATTTTTCAAATCGGACCAGCAGTTTCGGAGATTAGCGCGGTCAAACAAACAAACAAAAAAACAAACTCTTCAGATTTATAATATTAGTATAGATTGTATGTAAGGCTGCACGATTGGCGATTGAAGTGGCTGGGCAACTGGTTGCCGCACAACGTGTCGCGGGTTCGATTCCCGCACGGAGAAACTATTTGTGTGATCCACAGATTATTGTTCCAGGTCTGGGTGTATGTGAACTTGTATGTTAGTACTGCTTCTTCTCCGTTAGTAAAAATGTTGTGTCATCAATGTTTTACAGGCGAAGAACAATAAGGATGAATTTGGCTTGATTTACAATAGAAGCTCAGTATCGTTTATAACTGGGCGTGTGGCTGACAAGGAAGGATCCCCGGGTTTTGAACACGTACCTAATTTACTTCAGACTATTAAACAGAAAGCAGGTAATTTTCTTTTTTTCGTATCTTTCATCCACTACTCCCTCTCTTCTCGACTTGTGTAACTTCTTTGCATCAAATTATTTCATTGTTTACGGTTTACACATACTACTGTTTGTTGTTGTTACGCGGTAACGCGTCTTGCGTGGTTTCAAACTACGCTAAGGGCTTATAGCAATTATAGTTAGAGCAGCATTACACGGCAACGACACATCACGCGTCACTCAATGCATAGCATATATAATTTAACGTATTATAGTAATCGTAGTAGTAGTAATTTATCTACCAACCAATGTCAAGCAAAGAACTTTATTTGTAACTTTTACCAAACTTAATATACGCAACTAGCAACTATTAATAACTTGTGATCTTTTCTGTGAACTACTACACCTTCTACAACTACAAAACTACAGTGTAAGGATCTAACTGGTCCTTGCATGACCCACAATACTTTTTTATTTCAATTATATTTCTGTCACATCGGATTAATAATATAACAACTGTTCTATTATGATATTTGTAGAAGAACGAAACGTTTCACAAAGTGACGAGGTATACAGCTGCATTGAAGAGAAAGAAGCCAAGGAGAATTTCACCATCTACCACATCCACATCACGGAAACGAAGTGCTCTGATAATGTAGTCCGGGTCTCCGTCACATTAAATAAACGACGTAAGTTATTCTTAAAATATACTCAAAATCTTAACATACAAAGTCTAGTTTTGCACAGTAATTAAGTAATGTTAAATCAACTGTTAATTTACACAATCACGTTACTATTCGAGGAGCGACTAGTCCCTGCAGTGACTTAGAATCAGTTGAGCAATTACGAGAATAAACCTTATGACTTACGTACATGGTACAGTCTAGTTTACTTTGAAAGCTTATTAAGTATAGCTACTTCCGCGTCGGTGACCCGCTTTCCTCGGTTCCTATTGATCGTAGCGTAATGTTCATAGCCTAATAGAAATCCTCGATAAATGGACTGCCCGACAATAAAGAATATTTCAAATCGGACCTGCGGTGCTAGCCACATTACAATTCTACAAACGATATCGTCAATAGAAAAGTATGATAAAGTATGGGATCACATTACGTCCACACTAAGTCACGTGGTCGAATCAAAAAAAAAATCGTATGTAGCCAGTAGCTGTAGCCAAATACCATTTAGAGCTTGTCTACATGTAGAATAGAAAACAAAATTATATGGGATTGACGGAAATTTTGACACTTGTCAGTGTCATCCCCATACATTTAGTTTTGTATTCTCTCTGTAGACAAGCGCTAAAGTGGCGTTTCACTAAAGGCACAGGTAACATAATTATGTATTCCATCATAGCGAAGGAAAGCGTTTCCACAAAGTCAATCGCCAATCCCAATAGTTCCTGTGATTAGCGCGTTAAACCAAAAAAACTCTTCAGCTTTAAATAATAGTATAAGATCAGATTCTTAAATACTTATGGACATTCTATACCTTTTTACACTTACAACTGTTTTTTATCAACATATTTTCGTATCTAACTTATAGTTTTTACTTTACAGAGCTGCCTGTGAATTTGGTGTTTGATCTCAAAAAACGTTACCCCACCACTGTATTCGGATGCAGTTCTTGTGCAGCCCTCTTCAAAACTGAGCAAACTTTGAAAGAACATCAAGAGGTAACATTATTATACTGTCATCAAAATAACTTAAAATCTTCAAGAATCAATCAAACTTAGAATAAATCAGCTTTTGAAAGTATCTTTGGTTTTACTTCATCGACTGTCTTATTACTTGTGTTGCAAGGGTTGAACAAAGATGTTCAGCAAGTCCGGCAGATTATTTTTGCTTCGTATGTAATTTTCAAAAAACTCGGAATCTGATGGCTTACTCGGTTACTCCAATCCAATTCCGATCGATCGACATTGATATTGTGAAATTTCGTACTCTTCAGTTACAACACTAGCGCCCATTGCATTCGTATTGCGTGGATATTGAATGAACTAAATGGTATTGAGTTTGGCTTTATATTCCGTACTCTAAATGCTATTTTAACAGCTACTTGGGGTTGTATAGGTTTGACTTTTGACATTCAATAATTATTGAGATTTTATTGGATTAAAATTGTATTGACATTGAGATTGGTTTCAAGAGTAAGCTCACTGGAGGTACCTATTGTGCCCGATTCCGGTATGTAGCCACAAGCTCGCCTCTTTTTACATGGAACACATTTGAGTGTTGCATGTGACCTCTTCATGCCAAAGTAGTGATCGTATGTTAGTTCATTTGTCTGATGTTTTCAATATTGTTTCAGAACTGTATAGACACCGATGATATGTTGACTATCGATACTACTAATAATACTAATTCGGACAACGATGATGACGTGATTATCGTCAAAACAGGCAAAGAAACTGTATTCTCCTGTGCACAGTGTAATGTAAGTAAAGTTATATTTTTACTGCCTGCTCATTGGCCTAGTGGACGCATGTGCGGCTGCCAGGCAGGGGGTTTCGGGTTCGATTCCCGGGTCAGGCAAAGTATTACTGGTTTTTTTTAAATCTCAGTATTAGCGCGGAGTCTGGATTTGCGCTCGGTATTTGGCAATAGACTTACCCTCTATTATATGGGACTCAAATAGTGAATAGTGGGTGTTATATTGTACAGAGGCATTGAGTGCCGTAATGTGCACCTCGGGTATAAATGCCTATCCCTTTGGGGATGAATCTTTATGTAAAAAATTTTAATCTTTTTAAGTTTATTAGCAGGTTACGATAATGATTTTCATCTTAGCAGGTTTCGTTTATAGCAACTTTATTGTGGTATCTTTATTCTTATGTCATTACTGCTAAGGTGTTCAGTTCTACCACACGACTATGCACTATTGGTGACTGACATCCACTACTCAGGCCAAAATCCATAACTAATTTAAGATTTCTGACATCATCATAGAGTAGTTCTGGCACAAAATCCATGACTTATTTAAGATTGCTTCTATTTTCTTTACAGGTAACATTCACGAAGCTGAGCAACATACAAAGGCATATGAAATCACATCTAGGTACAAAACAACAGATTCTTCAAACAACTAGAGTACTTAAACAAAATCTAGACCCAAAAATGAAACCCGCAAAAATATTCAAGTGTAAAATGTGTCCTAGCACGTACTTTCATTCAGCTTCTCTTTCGAAACACATAGTTACTAGACATATTAAAGTGAAGGCAAATAAAAATGAAAACTAGAAATATTGTTTCATTATTATATTTACCATAGAATAATCACAAACACTTATCTTCATTGTAACATGTATCAATTGATGCTACACAAAATAGCACCAACAATTATTCAATAAATCATAAATAAAAAATTTAAACAAGACATATGTAATACTATAAGCTACCTATTGTCGTAAAGGATAAGGTTTATTTTTGAGGTACACCATAAAGCTAGTCATTAAAATACATCATCAGAAAATATAGTATCCAGTTCATCTAGTAAATCTGTGGCATTGGTATCAAAACCATTTGTTACTGTTTCATCTGTACCTGGAACAAGAAACGTTTAAATATTACACCATAGAAACAATTTAAGTCACACATTCAATAATAGACCTTAAAGGTCTTGATTTAAAATCCAAAAGGGCAGATGACTAATTTTTATTTTAATGTCTGTCTGGTAGATTATTTACAAATAGTTATGAAGATATATTGATTTAAAATATCGCATGTCACTTTTAAGCATGATTTATACTCTAAAATGACGGTGCATCTTCCCACTCCTAAACCTTGATTCGATTTATCTAACTATTGTTTTCTTATATGACAAAGTAAAAAATACATGGCTAATATTTTTATTCATATTTCGGTAGCTCACCTATATTATTCAAATTCTTTTCAGTTTTTATCACAGTATAGTCTTCTTCATAAACAATTTTATATCCATCAGGTAAAGGTTTAGCTTCTGCATCATCAGCCAGTACTGTAGAGCTATAGACAGCTAATATATTACTTAATGTTATATTAAGATAATGCTTCTTGAAAGCACTGCCTGTTGTAAGTATTGTAGGCTTCCATAAGATAAAGGCACAATATTCCGAAGCTATGTACTTTGAAAATGATGACCATGCATCTCTATGAAGTGTGCCTTTTATATTTCCTGAAAAATAGACATTTTAATTATAATGAATAGCAAAATAAAAAATGTGGTGTAAAGAACAAATGGAGCCAAAACATACAACAATGATAATAAAAGATGTGGATGTATTTAAGTTGTCTATGATTTATAAATTCAGTAAAGAGGATATACTAAAAAAATAAGTTACCTGTGGTATCCCTCATAATAATCAGTGGGTCTGTGGCTGATCTATCCACTGTCTCAACAAAGGCAGTAATTGTATGAGCTTTCCTTCTTCTCAAGTTTCCAGACATAGCTTGCTGTTTTACCATTTTTATTGAATCTATATCATGTAAATTCCAAGTTTTCAAATCGTCTAATAACCTTACCCACAAAGGAGACTCAAATAAGTCTCCTCTCAAATTGTTTTGAGTGAAATCAACATCCTGTAAGTATAAAAACATTTTTTGGTAATTAGCAGATATTATGTTTACAAATTGCATTTATTGTAAGGACCTTGAGAATCTTTTTACCTGTGAAAGTAGTTCAATTTGACAAATATTTTCATTTTCTTCAAATCCTCCAGTGAGAAGTCCAGCTGGACCAGGGAACTTTCGTTTATTTTTATGATCGAAGTATGAATTTATCATTTTTCTCTTTGTATGCTTTGGTGATATTACACTGTTTGCATTCCTAACTACATTTTCTTTGCTGTTATTGGGAATATTTTCATTATTCCTCACAGGTACTTCAATATTCCTAGGAATATCCTCATTTAAGTTCAAAATTTGTCCACCATTCGTTTGGGTAGTTTCCACATTATCATTTTTCGCCGGATTTGAGTTGTCTGAGCCACATTTATTTTCTACATTATTTTTGTTTACTACTAACGCATCTTCGGGAAATTCAAATTGAGATAATACCTACGGGAAAAATATATCAAGAGAAAGAGAAAAATCAAGTATTTCAATATGAACAAACGCTATAATTGAATTGTTGGTTTATTGAATGCATACCTGGTCATAATCGTCTGATTCAAACATAATAATGTAGAATGTAGATGTGTGGAAACCGAAATCATATAAACCTATACCAATAATAAAATATACATATGAAACAGAGAATTACTCAAAAGAAAACTTGTTCCTGTTATAATTATTTTTTTTCAAATTCAAATATAATCAACCCAACTTCAATCAACCAAACATGCCAACAACTAAAACCCACCTGCCCTACACAAACGTCAACGTCAGACGTCATTAAAAAGTGACAGTGACAGTAGCACATGAGAAAGTCATCAGCTGCAATGCTGAATGTCAGTTCAGTTCAGTTCCGTTGTTTTCTTTGTCAATTTTTTTTCTCAATGTTGCCGGGTAATATTTTTTAAAACTTTGGAGATCATGGCTGGATTTGGGCTGAAAAAAGTAACAAGTCATTTTTTACTCATTCATAATACTATGTCACTGTCATTTCACTAATTATAGCGTATATTAGTTGAGTTTATTAATTTTTTTAATCATTTTTACATCAAAATTACCAAAATGTCTGTTTTCGATACTTTAAACCCACTTGCACAAGTAACTCCGCGGTTTACTGAAGAACAGCTTGAAGATATGGTGCAATGGTTTGATGAAAATGCAAAACCTTTACTAACAATAAACGACGCTCCTGAACCAACAAACGTTGTAACTATCGAACAATTCGTATCATTTTTGGAATTGAAGAAGTATAGTACCACTCACACTGTCAAAACAAACATATTTTTCTTTATAATAATATTATCGTTATTAGAATAATAATAAAATTAACAGAAAGAAACATATATAACTGTTTTTTTTTTTAGATTCCATAGAAGAAATTTTAAATATCCGACTTATTTCGAAATTATGACTGAAGCCGAAAAATTGCATGCTGGAGTCACTAGAATGTTAACAAAGGATCAATTTATTTACATGTTGAACATATGGGTACAAGAAGCTGATATAAGACACGAATTAGAACTTGCATTTCAGGTAAGTTAGGTATGTTTTGACTAGAATCTTTTGGTATTATGGGACGATTCTCAATCTCAAGTATTTTACAGTTCCAAAAAATTAGTGCATTCGTTCGGTACATTCAACATTCAACAGTGTGCATCTCTTTACGACTATGCTTAAGTAGAAACTGCCGCTTCCACTTAAGTATCGTTGCATAATACCGGCTCAAAATTCGATTGAACAATATTAGTATTGTTATATCAAATGCTTATTTGTAAATATGCACCTTAATTAGGTATTTGATACAGAAAAGAGACACTATTTAGAAGTCGACGAAATCAGAGAAATAGTGACGGCTTACGGTGATGAACCATACACGGAAGCTGAGGCAGTGGAAATATTGCGTGACGCCAATGTTCGTGGGGATGGACATGTCTTCTATTGGGACTTTTTAGAAAGCTTATTCAATTTAGCTCCAGAATTGTACGGATTAAAGGTATAGTTGGTGCACCACATCTATACTAATATTATAAAGAGGAAAGATTTGTACATATTATTGTACGTTTGTAATGAATAGGCTCAAATAGTACTGGGCCGATTTAAAAAATTCTTTCACCAATAGAATGCTACATTCTTCCAATTACACATAGGCTGCATTTCATTTTGAAAAAAATTAGGGTTCCTTCGTAAAATTTGAACAATGTAACCGAAGGTGTAGAAAAATGATCTTAAAATGTCTTTCGTCGAATGCGCTGCCGAAATTATTAGCGATAGAACAAAATAATGTACGACAATATTGAAGAACATCATAATGTCTACAAAAAACTCCGCGGTAGCATATGTCCAACTATTGTAATTGTGTCAATACAACAATCCAAATTTCTAAAAATAAATAATTGTCTACCCCGTGCAAAGCCGGGACGGGTTGCTAGTAATGTATAAAACCAATCATCAAAATGACAAATCGAATAAAAATAATTTTCTTATATATTTGTTATTACGAATAACAGACAAATTAAACCATTACTATAACTATAATTTCAGACGGATTATTTGTATGAAGATCCCGATGAAGACCCATCTGTGCCCCCAGAGCCGGTCATTGAACCTCCACCTCCACCACCACCGCCTCCCCCGCCTCCTCCACCTCCTCCACCAGCAAAAGGAAAAAAAAAGAAAAAATGACAAAATTGTTTGCTGTTTTATTATATTACGTATTGAAATTTAAATGACTGGTTTAATTTATTTCTAATATGTATGTCATTACTTTAATTGTAAGCTTATCAGTTTTGTACGAGATTTTCAAAGAGTAATAATTATAATGAAATATGAACCTAAAAACGTACTACTGACTATAGAAACATACATGTACAATACAATTAATTCTAAAGGATGTTAGAAATATTGTAAAGCTATCTTGCCGCAATTTTCATTCTATCATCATTTCTATAAGCCTCCCACAGCCTCCCACATCCTCAGCCTCCCACAATGGAAATTGTGGTAGTTTTTAATATAATCCTGGTTGAATTGCTTTCATTCGTCCGTAATTCGCCTAAGAAAGCTTGGATCTTATACAATTTATAAATTGAAGTGGCTGAAGAAAGAAGTAAATAAAATAATAAATAATAGCTCTCATTCAGTTCAAGAGTCCACCATCAAAGAGACAAGAAAGCGTGCGCGAGCATGACATGTATTCATCATAGGGACGGTCACTTTGAACAAAAATGATGTTTTTTTCTTTTTTTTTTCTTTTTTTGTCGATTATTGATGTATAATTTCTATGACTAATTATTTTATTGCTTTATGAATGTGAAAAGATATTTTTGACTCGTACCTACATATATTGACTGATTGTGAATTTCATTAATACGTACAATGGTTGAGACATACCCAACATTTGCATGCCCAACGGGTAGAACAAAGAGATACAATATGTAACAAAAATAAATAACACCTTAGTCATTAATTATGTACTACACCTCTGTTCAGCAAATAAAGACATTTGATTTGATTTGATTTGATTTGAAATTGCCTATTTTCTTTTACACTGTACTTACACAGTAACTCGAGTTACAAGTCAACTTTATAATATTTTGTTTTTGAAGAAAAGTGCTATCTTTTATCTGTGTCGTTCCGTCCACTTTCTCATCCTCAACTTCAATCATTGTCTTTGATCATTCATCTACTTTGTCTATGGTTCATGGATGACATGACGTCTGAAATGTCGCTCTTGTAGGCAATGAGTAGCAATTTGATGCAAAACATTTTGGTTTTAACATTTTTTCGTTCAAGTTCGTGTTAATATGTATTAATAAGATTGTATGAGCTTATACTCGTGTTAGCTGGCGTGACTGATTTTCGTATATATAAATAATTAGGTATCAAATCTAGGGCAATGGATCTTGAGGACAATGCAATGGGTTTAACCCACGAACAGACGGACAAAATACTTCAATTTCAAGATTTAACTGGAATAGAAGATATGTCAATATGCAGAGATGTTCTACAAAGGCATCAGTGGGATTTGGAGGTAATGTCTATATCTATAACTTTATAATATGTCACTCGATGTTTCCGTATGGCGGACTCAAAGATAAGCTTGCCCATAATATTCACTAAAATGTACTAAAAAGTTGCCCCAATACTTGATAATCCATGTGTTTCTATTTATTTTTAAGTTAATATTTATTATAGCTATATGTTTCTGTCAATATTTCGTAGGTGGCGATACAGGAACAGTTGAATATCAGAGAGGGTCGACCATCGGTGTTTGCTACTGAGGCTCGCGCGCCTCCCGTAGTACATGATCACATAGCGCAGCAAGTGTTCACAGATGAGCCTCCAGAGGGCCCCGGTGGTGTGCGAGGACTGTTCCGCTATGTAGTCAACCTTGTAGTATCCGTTTGTTATAGCACAATAACATCAGTGCTAAACTTGCTCCTCAGTTTTGTGCGCAATGATGACAGGAGATGTGAGTATTACAGTCTATTTCTTTGCTGTCCTTATTGTTTCAATAATAACCCATAAATGCCCATAATGTTGTACTGTAAAATTTTTACCTGTAAGTGTGGTATTATTTCTCAAAATTGTTGTTTGGGAAAAGTGAAAGTATTTCTACTCACCTCAGTAATTCAAAGCAAAATTCTTGCTTGTTTTATTGTTGTTCTAGAATGGTGTAGAATTTGTATTTATAACCTAGTTAACATAACATGGTATTTTTTTTAGTGGTGACTGACCCATTAGGCGATGTCATGGGATTCATCAACAACTACACCTCCCGTTTCAACCCGCACCCTGTATTTTACCAGGGCACATATGCACAGGCCCTTAATGATGCCAAAAACGAGTTGCGCTTCCTTGTTGTATACCTACACTCTGAGTCAGCTTCGGAGACACAAAACTTCTGCAGGTAAGTTGCTAGAAATCTCACTACATTGACAACAAATTAAATGAGCTTAAAAGTTAAATGAGATAAAATGATCAAAAGAAAGAAAGATCCAGACAAATAAAAAAATACCACAACATGCTACCTTAATTTTTGTGACAATGAAATTAACATATTTAACTGTAATGGATTCCCAATACAATGAATCATGCATCAATGAAGTTAAGGTTGAATATTTTAGCTTGAGACTTGTTTTAGCATTTTTTTTAATACTAGATGTTTTCAGGACGACCCTGGCAGATCCAGAGGTGATCCAGTACATAAACACACATGCCCTGTTCTGGGGTTGCTCAGTGGAGAGCGGCGAGGGTTGGCGCGTGGCTCAGTCGGTGGGCGGGCGTCGCTACCCTCTGCTCTGCGTAGTCTGTGTCCGTGAGCACCGCATGACGGTGGTGGCGCGCTCTGAAGGTGCCTGCAGCCCACACCAGTTGCTGCAGCGCCTGCGCCGCGTCGTCACTGATAACGAACCACATTTAGCAGCTGCCAGGGCTGATAGGTATGCTGTTTGTGCTTTATCAATACATAGTATAAAACAAAGTCGCTTTCGCTGTATGTCCGTATGTATGCTTAGATCTTTAAAACTACGCAACGGATTTTGATGCGGTTTTTTTTAATAGATAGAGTGATTCTTAAGGAAGGTTTGTATGTATAATACATGCATATTGCACCCGTGCGAAGCCGGGGCGGGTCGCTAGTTATATCTAAAACTAGCTGTTCTTGTAAATTTTGTATTGTATCAAGTGAATATTTGGGACTGCTGTTGAGATTTTCTGTTGTCCGAGATGGAGACAAATCCAACAAACCAAACAACATGCCTATGTTGCTGTTGAGTTATAAATGGTGTTTATGCTACCAACATGATTTACTACTTAGTAGTATTTAAAGATACAGAAATAAACAAAAGAAATATGTAATTTCTATACTCATATCGCACATATTAAGATCTTATGGATTATTTTTTCATCAGAGTGGAGCGTGAAGTGACAGCGCGTCTGCGCGCAGCCCAGGACGAAGCGTACGCGGAGTCACTTGCCGCCGACCAGGAGAAGGAGCGGCGCCGCGCCGCCGACCGAGCCGCCCGCGAACTGCGCGAGCATCAGGACCTGCAGCGGCGCCAGCAGGAAGAACGTCACAAACTGGATGTAAGTGTGATCTGACCATGTTTTTGATTTTAGCCTAGTTCATTTATTTAAACTGTCAAACACCAAGCGGTCACCGGTGACCGCAACCTATTGTTCTATAATTGTGTCTATAATGACGGTACTCGACGAGTTAAGGCGAGAAGAAAGACAATGCAACGGACCAACCTTTAATTGTTGTTTAATGTTTGTCCCAAACTTATATTTATTCAATAGAATATTGTTAATGATTATAACATTAAACATTAAGTCATTATGTCTATGATTAAAAATGCAAATGTTGATATTATAATGAGTTAGGCTTCCGTTAATGAAATGTTTTGTGATTTAATACTTAAAGAAATGATGTGTATAAGCTGTTATGAAGTTTAACTATCAACAAAACATTTAGACTAAAACAAAAATGTCATAATATGCCTATGTGCTAATGGGACTTTAATGAATATATGAATATTGAATGGAATACTCTCAATATATTAGCTGGTGGCGGCCCGCCAAGCGATGGCATCGCGGCTGTCTCCCGAGCCGGCGGCCGGCTCTGGTACTGTAGTACTGCTCATACGGCTGCCGGGGGGAGAGAGGCTCACTCGACGCTTCACACTCACGCACACTACGCAGGTATGTTTTATGACCGTTTTTTTATTGTTTTTTTTTGTTCTTGACCTTATACTATTTGTGGATACATCATTTTGTTGTGTCAGGTATGTAAGCAGGTCTAGTTTACATCAAGCCAATTATAAGCCCAAAATTTACTTTAAGTTGTGAGTCACCCACAATCAAAGCGACACTTTAAGACATATATGTTAGGTCTCATAAAATGTTTTCTGTACTTCTACAAACTACATAAGATTTGTGTTATTGTCTACAGGATCTTTATGACTTCGTGTTCAGTCACCCACAGTCCCCCGAGGAGTTTGAAATCACGACCAACTTCCCTAAACGCATCCTCGCGCGCGGCGCCGACAGCCTCATGGACGTCGGACTAAAGGACCGCGACGTACTTTTCGTCAACGATGTTAATGCATAAAATGCGTTAGTGCTCTCATATACATAGTTAGTAACATCTTGTTGGGATTGCCATGGAGTAGTACGCGAATGAAGTATAGAATGAGTGTAGAAGAATATTTGTCACCATGACAGTGGTGGATCAAATGTATTGGCAAAGCCAAGGAGGCATGGTCGGAAATTTTCACACATTAAATTACTAACATCGAATCATTTAGTTGTCACTAAAATGTGTTAAAGTTACGATCAATTTGTAGATCAGTTTGGTGGGGTCTCTGTTAATGTTACAGAGGGTTGGTCAACAGGCATTTGGGTTGTGATTGGTTGATTACTTCATTTGCTCATTACTCAATGTCTATACGCGTTTGACAGGTCATCGCGGTTGGTAGTGGAACATGTACATAATACACTGAGCAAGGTACACACACAATATGCACATAATATTAATACTCGTGTTACTCATATAACTTAATGACCAATGTAAGTATCTGATCCTGGACGAATACCTCTGTCCAATCTAAAGGAACTTTGAGCAAATTATTCCAATGTACCATACAAAAGTACTGGCAGTACTTACTCATTGAAGTCTATGTAATTCCGTTCAGTCAGCAATCGCAAAACTTTTCATACGCAGCTATATATGCGGGAAACATTAATGGGTCAGACCAATCGACATTTTAGAATTATTTTAATTTATTTTAAATCGTTTTATTGACATTATTTTTATGGTGAAAATGTCGATAAGTTTGTAGTGTGATTGCTCAGTGTACGGAATTATTCATTTTTAAATACCATGACGGTTAAGAGCTATGGCTTCACACATTAGTCCCAATATTTGAATCAAAATTGTCTTTATTCAGAGAAACATTGGTTAGTCGCTGTGCACATTGACATCCTAGTGTTTTATCCAACATACGAGATCAGTGGGTGAAGCCGCTATGTGACTGATATCCAGACTTAGAACACCCTGGCAACAGGGTAATTAGTTTTGTACTTAATTATAGTACAATAAGGTTCCCTTTCATTTGAGTTGCAATATCGTCGTTTGTAATCGCTGGACGATTGCAATGTTTTTTTTTGTCCCATATTGTAGAACTATAATAATGATCTGTAGCTGATAGATATAACGAAATAATCATAATAGAAGTCCGTGATGTTCAATTTGTGTCAATATTCCATTAAAATTATATGCATGTCAATTGAATGTCTACTTGATCCGAATCCAGGTGAATAAGGCTGTTGGAGAGGACTAGCCTCTATAGTTTAACGGCCTTATACCTTGGACCTGCTTCTTTACACTCCAGTTTAATGAATTACAAATTAGCAGTTGATGTTTATACACACGATATAACCCTCTATGTGTAATTGTGTAGTGTTAAGTTGAACGAATGTTTAATAATAGTCACATTTTTGACATATTATTGTAATGCTCAAATTGTTCAGTACGCGTCCGGGTTCGTTGCACTCAAGATTGTAACTAGTCGTCGTTACATTGATAGCTTCTGTTTATCGACAATTTGCGATAACTAAATTGATGTTTTCTAGAAATTTCTAAATGTTTTTGACTGATGAAACATATATTTGTTATATCTGTTCCTTCTTTTCTGATTCTATTAGAACTTGAACACGTACTGTAAGACTGTGTATGCAATAATGCAATATTGGGCAACTAGGTAATCACGATGAGACACATTCGACTTATCGTTCGAAGTAAACGCGTATATCCCACTCTTATTGTGATATTCGTATGTTGTATGTATGTACTAATATTGTGTAGGTATTCTAAACCAAAATCTGGTATAAGACATAATATTATTCGGAAGATGCGTGGGTTAATTGCATATCAAATTTTTATTTTATTATTTAATTCTGGAAAATTGCTTTTTTTTAAATAGGAATGTTCTTGCGCTAGTGAAGACAAAGGTTCTGTCGGTTTTGTTACCTTTTTGTGCACGGCGAAGATTTGTTTGGGTCGGTACATTTGTCTTAAAAGCGGGCCATGTATGCCGTTGTTTGGTAAATACTAATTACTTGTGTTAAGTTTGAAGGAGGACCTCAAAATTCTTGTATTAAGATACCTTACTTTGTATATGTCTCGAAGAGGCTCACCCTCCTAGATTTGAACAAATTCTCCGTCGTGTAAACCTACAAGTTTAAAATTAGTTTTGTTCCTTCCAAAATATTCATTTGTATGACTGTCGAACTTATACTCTATATAAATAGCTGTAAGTTCGTCTCTAGTAATAGGTACTTAGGAATGTAATTATATGTAATTGATTCTGTAATAGATGTTTAAACAAGTTCTTAAAGCTCAATCGTACCAAGTTTGCTAAAGGACTATTGATAGTCAGATAGGCAGATTTGTTCGTATATTAAATAAACCTATATGTCTATACCATATCCAAGACATTAGTTCTTGGTTGGTTCTTGGTTGTCTTCAGAACAAGAACAAAACTAATTTTATACGAGGTCTCTATGTAACCCTTGTAAGTTATGATCGATATTTTATAAGGTAGAAATAAATAGATCAAGGTACATGATTGTTATTATTTTGTCTCGCATTTTTTGTTTAAATGTCGCTGCATTTTTGTTTAAATGTTGCTGCATTTTTGTGTAAATGTTGCTGCATTTTTGTGTAAATGTTGCTGCATTTTTTGATAAATGTCGCTTCATTTTTTGGTTAAATGTCGCTTCATTTTTGTTCCCTTTGTTTTTATGTTTAGATGTTTTTGAAATGTAAATTATCCTTGATGTGTTCCATTATTGTAACTATTTTGCAAATGATTTAGTACTGACAGGTTTGAATTTGGAAGATTTTCTTGTATAGGAAAGATGCGGCGCATTCGGTCAAAGGTTACATGCATTTATTTCTAAAACGAACTGTGTATTATATTGTTTTGTTGTATTATAGTCATGTTTCTTCCTAAATAAATGTTTTTATTTAAATATCTAGGTACTTTATAACATTTTATTCTAAAAATCAAATATCAGTTTTATTACATAATTTATTAGAAACCCATAATTCAACAATACACCAAAAACAAAATACCGTATGGAATGTAGGCACTTTTTAAACATTCACCAATTTCACTTTTATAAGTAAAAGCATAAATGAAATACATAATTAGGTATACTACAAATTATACAATAGAATTATTAAAATTTGTTATTTATATAACACACACCTAGTTTCTATACATGGTTTGATTACACTACTATTTCAATGCAAACATTAATGGTTACCCGTTTGATTAATGACAATTCGACAAATCTAAATTGTTAAAAACAAATACAAAATTTTGGTGTCCTTTTACAAAATGTAAGTACTTGATATGTTGTAATTATTTTACCATGATATCCGAAATATTGTTATGTACATTTTGAATTTGAATAATGCCCGTGAAATACTGAAATTCAATGTCTGACCCGCAGAACTACATGTATAGAGGTCCAAATAAAACTATAAGGACATTTCATATCAGAATCTTTAAATGGGAAGTAAAAATAGATAAACTAGTAAAATACCTAAGTCTGATTACATAAGAGGTTTAAAAAAAATACTTTCTCTTATTAAGTATTACAGAATGCACATTAAACTCTCAAAATTATTCACATTTGCACATTTTAAGTACATTTTATATGTTGAAATTTATTTTTAAGAAATTGGTTTATACTATTTAGCACTACGTAATCTTTATAATTCGTTTAAAATTAGCATGTTACAATTTTGGCACTAAAATATAAATGGAAATAAAAGTGGGTTATATCAATAAGAAAATATACAAAGAATTAAACTTAACATGATTACAAGTTACATTTAATAATGGATGGAATAGGTACATAAATATCGACAGGATTTGACTTCATACAATTATGACTTACTGTTGTCTTTCTGTACATTGAGCTAATCTACTCAATCACAAATATTCTAATCACAAATCACTAAAATAATGTCCGACGTACCTAAAAAAGCTAAGTTATCACACTTTGGTTTTAAAACTAATACACATTTAATTTGTTCTTGAAAGTTATCGTAAGTGCGAGAATTTGGCCGAAACTTGTCAAACAGTTTCTACGATGTAGTTTATTCAGTTACAGCTACAGTATTAATAGATCTCACTCTTTACTAAATATTATTAAAAAAAAATTAGACGTTCCTTTTTAAAACTACAATATACAGTTTATTAACTATATTATTATACAATTGCTCTTTTATTGGGCAGTTACAATCTTTTAGGAATAAAAAAATCTTATTAAATACTTTGGTTGTACTTTCATCTAGTTGCTATTTAAGTGCTTGTATAAAATACCGAAGATGTGTGATCTATTTTTGGCATATTATGTAGAACAATGTTATTGTTTGCGCTAAAATGCACGGTTGGCGGTGTTAAGCAGACACTAGTTAGCGCAAGTATGCGCAACTATTGCGCTAATAAGTAATTGTTTTTGCGCAAAGCCAAGACAATGTAATTCTCATGTTTATCACTGGCATAGCAATTTAGCGCAATAATATTATGGCACTCATCCCATAAAAGCGTGAATACAGTCATCTTTGAAGCCATGTTTCTTCAATAAATCGAGGCCAGCGTAAGTGAACTCAGTAGGGCCACACAAGCAAGAGTAATGAGAACATTTGTCGTCACATTTCACTTGTCCTAGTATTTCTGTAAGCAACTCGTCCCTGATGCGACCTTTGTGACCAGACCAAGATGAACTGGCGTCCGATAGAACGTGTGTGATCTTCAGCCTGGAAAAGAAGTAAGTCGATGTTAGTTTACAGTTTATTGCTGTAGTGTTTGGCAATAGGCAAAAAGTTTTTTCACAAGTACACTGGTAATCACGAAAATTGGGATGATGAAAGGGTATAAAAATTAAAAATATAATTAGTCCGTAAGTTAGGTAATGAAAAAATGTTATTTATTTATTTATTAACACTTCTGTATAATAATCATACGATAGCGGACTTAATGCCGAGTGGCATTCTCTAACAGTCAACCATATTAGACACGTATTTTTTTATTTTGTCGTATAATAAAACAATACTTAGATAAAACGAATCAAAGTTTAGGAGTGGGGCTAAAACGTTTCTACGTATAAAATGTACAGTAAGGTCAAAAGCCCACTGCCACCGTGAATAATGTTCAAACGGCAATGCGTAAGTTATTTCATATTAATGTGCATAAAAACGCTTGCGTACGCATAAACACAAACACGCGTATAGCGCACAGTATTCGTGTGCATGTGTGTATAAGCGCTGCAGCGCAACCGTTAGTAGTCTTACGGTGGCAGTGGACTTTTGAGGTTTGACCGTACATAGAAGTGACGTCACGCGACATTTCAAATCAATATATCGTCGATTTAAAATAATCTACCAGACGGACATTGAAATAAAAATTAGGCATCTACCCTATTGTAAGCGCTCATAGGCACATGGGCAAATGCATAGAATTAATAGAAACCGGATTTACCTGTCGTCCTCTTTGGCCATTTCTTCGAAGTTTTCGAGAAATAAGATGTCTGCTTCAGTTTTATTGAAAAATATTAGGTGTGTCCGTTCACTGGAAATAATATAAAATGCTGAGTCAGTTTTCAGAATAGGTAACAATATTTATTTTTATTCCATTTCAGTATGGGAGTCTAGCAGTACCTAAAGGGCAAAAGGTGAAGATATTGTGAGTACACTTTTAACTTCCAAGCATTCTTCCATTCTTTATATGAAATTGCTTCTCAGTTAATTTCTGTCTGGTACTTTAATATCGATTACATAATGATGACGTAGCAACAAAGTACCTATGATTGATGGGTCGACCTCGCCTGGATCCGACGGCCGACTTCCGACGTTCGTGTTAGGTGCAAGGTGTTCGTGTAATATTTGTTATTTGAAAATTATGTGAGAATGTGTTTATCTATTGGTTAATCACGGGCCATAATAACTGTAGTCACGCATATTTTGTGTTCGGACTAATAGCTTTCTTTTAATGATGTGGGGTCAAAAATGAGAACTTTTGATCTCGTAGGTCAAGTGCGACTGCCGAGCAAGAGATCTGGCCAAAAGTAGATATTAATGGCATGACGTGTATTCTGATTTTCTTTATAATAGCGCGGAGCTTAGAATATCGTGTTCGATGTATGGTATTAACTCACTCCTTATTAAGTACATGGGATTTATATAGCAAAATTGGTGGAATTGTATCTACGTGGGCATTGTGCAGCTCTGCCTACGCCTTCGTAGATTAAAAACTTTGCAAACTCACCATCTAGGATTAGACCTTGACATCATAAACTTTATAAGGCCGAGCATAGGCGTGATCCCAGTACCGGCCGCTATCAAATACAGGCTCTTTACTGTCTTCAGCTGAAAAAGAAAATGGACAATAAATTACACTCATTGCTGATCTTACAAATGTCCTTACAACTTTGATTTATTAGGACATACAAAGAAAAGATGATCAAGTTGGTTTTTTTATGAGTTTGGGACGCCATTAAAGTTATTTATGAACGCTTTGTTCTACAAAACGAGGGGTATGATAAAGAGTTTCAAAAGGTCAAGAGGATCGACCCCTAACCTTCTGAACTATTCGGTTCCAACCACTAATATAGGCATAAACTATCGAAACTAACGTAGCTACACGGTTTTAATAGGGCAGCTGAAATGTTAGTTATTTGCAAAGAAAAGTAACTTACAGCGAATAGCAAAAAGTCCACAATTACAAAACTTCTTTTCAAAAGACGCTAATTAAATGAAACTTATTGAATATTTTCCAAGGGAACGAAAAAAATGAACGATGAAAGTCACGAACTCACGAGTTTGTGATAAAAATTAAATAGGTAACTTTCGGACCGTCCCAAGCCTGAAAATATAATTAAAACTACCTTTTGCAGTTGAAAGTTGCCGTAAGGTCCAGAGAGGGTAATGAGGTCTCCAACTTTTAGTGCTGTGAGGTGCGGTGAGAGGACACCACTGTCGTAACGCTTCACCGCCAGTCGGAGTGCTGAGAAGATTTCAGTGCCATCTGGCGGTCCCCAGCCCTCACCAACAGGCGTGTATGAACGCACACATTCTGAGCCTAGTAACAAAAAAAAAACATTTTAAGCGCCAAGGACGAGGTAAAACAAATGATTTAAAAAGTTTATAGTATTCATATATAAGTTCGATCCCCGCGATCGGTAATACTTTTTGTGTGTTTTTCGATATTATTTCTTAACCATGTCAATGGAAAATAATCACAACATTACTTTGCGACGAAGAAAGCAACTGATTAGATGCAGGTCAATTGATTCATTCAGTAATGACTCATCATTGGACAAAACCGATTCGGACATGAACACAAAAAGTCTTGATCTTTCAACAATCATAAGTAGGAATGAATTAGAAGAAATGAAGGTAGAAATACAACAACTCAAAGAACAACTTGAACTGACACAAAATGAATTAGACACGGTAATATGCGATAATAATGACCTGAAGGAAACAGTATTACGACAACAAACTTATATTAATACATTAAAAGACCTTTGTATCAGTAGCCCGACAAAGTCGCAAAGACTAAAATTATTGTCTGCGAGGAAACGAAATAGACGTTCTATAGCAGATAGTCAGCGCGTTGCATTCCTAAACCAAGAACAGTCATCCAGTAACGCTGATAAAGACTGCATTGAGAGCTCAAACATATTATTAGACTCCCCTATTGATAAGTCACCCCAAACAGCGCTCGTGTCAAATTATGAGGATAAGCAAACGCAGACCGAAGGATCTGAATCTGTTGATTGCAGCAATAATTATGTCGAAAAGGAAATTAATAAACTCAAGGAGACAGAGATTCAGATAATGAGAACAGATAGTACAAGAAAACGAAAACTGTGCATTATTAGTAATTGTAATCAGAACGGTACATTAGACATATTAGAGAACACGTTTGGCCAGCACTTTGAGTATTGTCATTACTCGTATGGTAATAGTAGCTTAAATAATATTTTATCTAATATTTCGAAAAAAATTCATGGTTTTGGTATGGACGATTACTGCATTATTATGATTGGAGAAAGGGATTTCAAAGATTCTGATGGATCTTTGGAATTAATTAGATTGATTAGGGAAACTTTAAAGAAAATAACTTACACTAATGTGATTTTATGCTGCCCCACATACATACAAGGGGCTCTGATACATAATTATAAAGTGGAAATGTTCAATAGTTTACTTTGTATGGACATAGAAAACAATAATTATGCCTATTTTGTTGACAGTAATCGCGAGCTTACCGATGAAACATTCTCGTATAGAACCGGCAAAGTTAATAAACTCGGCTTAAAACGTATTTGTGAAGGTATTTTTCAACGCTTACTTGTGGACATTGAAATGTATCCGATTGCATCCGATTATCCACCTAAACCGTTGAGAACTCATAAAAATACTCTTTTTCGTCCCGTTATGTAAAAAAACATTCAGTAACTTTAACAATCGATTCGAGGGAAAACAAAAGTTTATATTATTACACCAAAACATAGCCGGGATTTTAAATAAGATAGATGTATTTGAGGTTGCAATCACAGAGTTGGCAAGCCAGATCGGCGTTATTGATTTCATCTGTCTTTGCGAAACTTTCATTAAATCAGGCCATGAAAGTAATCTAGTACTCCCAAACTACACTTTAGCGGCTAGTTATTCAAGACAAAGACAAAAACGAGGGGGTACATGTGTTTTAGTGAAAAAAGGTTATAGTTTTAATACGTTAACAATAGTAGATGAACTGGCCACTGATTTTTGTTTTGAATGTTGTGCCGTTGAAATTTTGAACCATAATCTTATTATAGTATGTATTTATAGAATTCCAGATTCTGATTTATCTATATTTTTTAGAAAACTTGAATTATTGTTAGGAAAACTAACGCATAAAAGTAAAAATCATATAATCTTGTCTGGTGATTGGAACATAGACATATTGAAAAACAATAAATATTCAAGAGAATTAATATCAATTCTAAATAATTACAACATTACGGCACATATTAAAATGCCTACCAGGAAAAATGCAAGTATAGATCAAATAGCCAGTAACTTGCCCACACTCGATTTAAAAAGCAATATTCATGGGTTGGCACTTTCTGATCATGATACCGGCCAAACATTAACATTCCGTCTACATAATATTGTGAAAAATATATCAAAAAATTGTAAATTTTGGTATGACACCAAAAGAGATTTTAGTGTGGATAACATAAATAAATTTTTACAATGTTTAGAATCACTAAGTTTTGATGAGGTGTATAAAGAGACAGACTGCGACAATGCATTCAGGGAATTTCACGACCTATTTATTTTATTTCACAAATTA